AATTATCTAATTTGTAAGGCTATGTTTCATATATGTTTTAGATTGATTTAATTAGTGTTAATTAACATATCTTTATGTATTATGAGAGACAGCAGATACCCATAAAGATTTTTATATTGAGCCATATGGCAGCCTGCAATACACTAGCCAAAAAAAGTATAATGAGGCATATAAAGAAGTCTGCTGCACAACAGTCCTCAGTAATTTTGAAAAATGAATTTCAGAGTTTGCACAATACAAGCAATGCCATGCTGTTCGTGCCTTACCCAGTCTGTCTATGGGAGCTGGACTAAACTCCAGTTAGGACTATGGAAGACACAGACTCTGCAATAACAAGGCTAATCTGAAGGGAGTCAGTCCCCATCTCTGGAACTTCATTTCCCCACAAAGGAGAGTAGATGGAAATGTTTCTTTTAAGGTCAGGAAGACTCTAGATGGAAGATACATCCTGAACTCTTCCCCAGGAATGAGATAGGCATTTATCTCTCTTAATCTTTTTTTCTGGCACCTCAAAGTTTTTGCATACTTTGTGTGAAGGTTTTTCAACTTGCTACGAGGAGCTGGGGAGTGTGTGGGTTTGTAGTGTGCAGAATGAATATTCCCTGAGCTTTCCTGGACTAAACAACTTATTAGCCAATTGTCTGAGATGGTGGGACCTGGGTGAGTTCCTGCCTGGTCCTCTCCAACCCTACTTTGCAAAACAGGGCAAACAGAGTTTGATGTGAAAGAGGTGACCAATCACTGCCTCCAGCTATGATCACTCCCCTGTCACAGGACAAGGAAGAGCCACAGGCATGAAGCTGTGGGAAAAACAAAAGAAGCTGGAGAACAGCAGACATATATTTCAAGACAGCTTGTGAGGATTGGAAGGGGAGCAATAAAATCCCTTTATCTCTCACAGTAAATGTCCACGTACTAATTCCAGGCACAATCACCTCTGGACAGGAATCCTCTTGTGCAGGAAAAAAAAAAAAAGGCCTGTTAATTTGAATAGTACCTTCCTTTTGTTGCCTTTCTGTCACCCATGCAGGCAGGATTCCGGAGCCTTCAGTGCCAAGAATGAGACATGGTGGTTGAGAAAAACAAATGGTTCCACAAGAAGACTCCTTATTTCTTTCTCCTGGTGTTCAAAGCTGCAGAGTTTCCACACAGAATGAATGGCCTTCACATAGCCACAGCTTTTCTTTTCAGATTATTTTAAGGCCAGTTTCAGAGATAATGCGGGGTGTGTGTGTCGGGGGGAAGGGGTGGCGGGGAGATAGCTATTGGAATACCATAGAAAGAGAAAAATAAAATGGAAAGCACTGTAAGGACAAAATGTTCCAATTAGCTATCATTACTGGTCTAGAAATATGAACTTCAAGAGGGGGTGCTGGAGAGAGGAAGAAGCAGCATTGTGGTTTTTTTTGTTTGTTTGTTTTATATTTTGGCCACAAGTATCATGGAAAATAGTATGACAAAAAAACAAACAAACAAACAAACAAAAAAAAAGATGTAAACAAATGCAATCTTCTTCCTGCCAGCTGCCATAAGTACTGAACACCCCTACACTCCAGACTCTGCCTGGAGCTTAAAATCAGGGACTCAGCCTGGTATTTTGGCATCCTGGGTGAGTGCCAACACCATCAGAGTAAGGAATATTCTTTATAGACTTTGTTATCCTGGGCCTGAAGAGACAAATGTGCCTTACAAGACTGCCATGACTAATAAATTCTGGCATAAGAGTTTTGCAGAGCTGAAGTATTTGTTCCTGTGCTAGTGCCTCTTTTTATCTGTATCATACTGACATCTGGTGGGAATGGACATGAATCGACCTGTTTGAGAGGCTTGGACTCTTCCTGCTTTAGTGTAATGGAAAACAAGAATATATCCTGAAATGTGACCAGAAAGTGAAAATTGTTCAAAAGTGAAAATTATTCCCAGTTAGACTTCTCTTTAACAGCCAAAGGACTTTTAAATGTAGCTGATTTGGAGAAATTAATGAAAAATTCTTTATCCATTTCCTATTTGTATGTTTCTTTTTTGTTTCTTTTTTTTTTTTTTTTTTTTTTTTCTGATAAAATAGGCATAGCTAAAATGAATATACATAAGTGACACACGATGCGTGGTTATTACTCAAATTTTTTCATTACGGTTACTACTTTTTATAAGGAATCAATGCCAAAACAAACAATTTTCCACATAGAAGTTGATGCTCCCATCTTTTTGAAATCTACGTTTGGAAATAAACAGCTTGTTGGTTTGTTCATATACGTAAAGACAAATAAATTTCTGTACAGATAAACAGTGTTCTTCTTTCAGATAGCGTGCAAAAATAAAACCATAAAAATTCACAGTACTTTTAAGTGTTCTCTTCTGAAAGAGAAAACATTCAAGTCACAAGGGTAAGATTATACTGCAGGCATCTGAGCTCTTCATCAGCTGCACTGGTTATCTCATTTACGTGTCTCAGAACAACGTTGTTCAATGTGAAACATAAGCAGTGGTCAGGAAGACCAGAACTTAGAGAAGTCAATGTTCCAAGGGAGAAGAGAGCTCTTTACATTTATGGAGCAAATTCCTGTGCAGGAATGTACTAATGCCAGGATACAATCCTCTTAATACACAACATTACAACAACTATTCTGAACTAAAAGTTCTTGTATTTACGGTATTTGACAGTAGGATGTCCACTTTCAGCATCACAGACATTTCACCAGGTAAAGTGAATTGCCAACAGCAGACCACAACAGATATATCAGGTTCTTCCATTGATCTGACACCAGTAACTGCTGGGCTAGCACTTTTATGAGTGAGACAATCTAAATGGTTCATCTTCTTGTCTCTTGCTACAACTGCATTTTCATGAGGTTCTGTACCAACACATTAACACCTCATGGGGATAAACAAAATATTTCTCCACATGTAACAGCACATAACAAAATACTAGCTGTAAATATTCCAGGTAGTACAAAAATGAAATCTTGCCTCATACGCACAACATTATTATCATCAAAGGAAAAGTACTGCTCTAGGTAGTTTCATGATTTGAATGAGACATTGAAATGAGAGACTTAATACATCAGCATGCAAGGAGTCTATATTTCCTACACCATTATTCACTGAGATTGCTTTAAAATGCAAAGTCCTTTATAACCTTCATCATTTGTCATTTCACTGAGTACAACAGCTATCTTTCACTTTATTCTCAGCTGTGATTCACTCAGTAATACAAATATTTGTAAACTGTGCAACACACACAACTAGTAACCCCTTGAAATTTCATCAGCATGCTTGTCACAAGTATGCAAAGACAGTCAGACTGAGGGACCCTCTCTCATAGATCACAGAGTTACCCCTGAACACTTTCAAACCCAGTCCTCAGCATCTTTCAGCTGCCCTAGCCATACAATTTATGATCATTCTCAACACAGACCCTCCTCAATTGAAATGGTTTGTGAGCTATGAAAGTAGTTAATAATTTATTAATTTCTCCTCCTGGTCAAGAATGAAGTTGCATATTTTGCAAAACAACATTTCTTTCTGTCCCAAGCTGTTCTCTAGAAATAGTTAATAAAATTGTTCAAGGCTGAAGCTAAAGATAACACTCTCATTTATTTTTTAGTGGTAATGGCTCTTCAAAGTAATGTTATGTCTTTATGTGCTGGCCCCAAACAGATCTCTGAATATTACCCTTTCAACTTTAAGAAAGACCTGGTGACATCTGCTTACTCACAGAAGATAATTTGTAAGGCTAAGCAAGCATGTGATCTGGGCTGTCACGAACCACCATCAACCAAATGATTATCTCCCTGGATCAGTAGTCCCTCTGGTCAGATGGCTGCACTGCACCAGGACTCCTTTCCTGTAGCTTCAAGAAAATCAAGGCCCACCAGCCTATATTTCTTTCTCTGTAATAGTTACTGCCATCCAATCATTACTTAAGTAACCCACTTGGAATTCTCTCAGTACATTTTTTCACTTATGTAAGAGCACAGCCAACAGTATATTTTAAATATACTAAACATACTTTAGCGTTTATACATCCAGAAGTCCTTTCTGCTAAGAAAGGTTAAGACTTAGGCCAGCACAGGTGTATTGGGCATATATGGTAAGGTTTTGGTAGTCTGGGGAGGTCTGCAGGGGTGGCCTCTGTGAGAAGAGTCATGAGGCTGCCCCATGCTGGACACAGCCAGTTCTGGGCATCTCCAAAATGGACCCCCTGCAGGGCACAGCTGAGTCCCTCCGCAGCACTGGTGGCACCTGTGTGATAACATATCTAAGAAAGTGTAAAAAAAAGCACTGCACAGGAGCTGTGAATGAGGGAAACAACCCTGCAGACACCAAGGTCAGTGAAGAAGGAGAGGGAGGAGGTGTTCCAGGCACCAGAGCAGATTCCCCGATAGCCCATGGAGAAGACCATGGTGAAACTGCCTGTCCCTTGAAGCCCATGAAGGACCATGTCAGAGCAGATATCCATGCTGCATCCCATGGAGAGGAGCCCACACCAGAACAGAAGTTCTTGTGGGAACTGTCACCCATGGGAACTGCCACCTGTGCTGGAGCAATTTGCTCTTGACGGATGCACCCTGTGGTACAGACCCATATTGCAGCAGCCCTTGAGGAACTGCAGTTTGTGGGAACCCCACATAGGAACTTTTTGTGAAGGACAGCATACTGTGGGAGGAATCCCATGCTGGAGCAGGGGAAAAGTGTGAGGAGAAACGTGACGACGTGTTATGAACAGACAACAGCCCCCATTCCCATCCTCACTAAATTACTCAGGGCCGGGAGGAGGTAGAAGAGGCTAAATGTCATGACTGACATTTAGCCTGGGAAGAAAGAGTGAGGTGGAGAAGGTGTTTTCAGTTTGTTTGGGGTTTTTGATTGTTTGCTTTTCTCACTATCCTACTCTATTTTTAATTGGCAATAAATTAAATTAATACTCCCAGGGTCAAGTTTGTTTTGTCTGTGAAGGTAACTGGTGAAAGATCTTCCTGTACTCATCTCAACCCATAAACTTTTTCATCTTATTTTCTTCCCCTGCCTTGCTGAGGATGGGGAATGAGAGATTGACATGGTGGGCACCTGGCAGACAGCGGAGGTTAACCCACAACAACATGCAAAACAAAATATTATTTATAAAGTTACTTTGATGCATTACTGCAGAAATCGTTGGGATGTAGAAAGACTAGACTTTATTATATGCTGTCCTCTCTAACTGGACCTTGCAAGAGGTCAGTAATTTCAGACAAGGGATCTCAAATATTTCTATATGGGGCTAATCTTGAGTCACTTCTGAGACTAGTTTTAAATGACTTAAACAATTCTGCTATTTCCCTTGAAGTCTTGCAAAAAAAGGCTTCCCTGTACTCTCTCCTGCACTTCTGTCTTCATTTCATACTGTTATATCTAATTACACAACAATTCTTCTCCTAGCCTGATATTTATGTTGTTTAAAAACATGTTAGAAGTATTTTTAGACAAGACAGTTAACATAATACAAAGCCACGTTTCTCTGATAAACTCAGAAGAAATGCAGCATAAAGCTTCACTTCCCATGACTTTAGGCATGAGATAAAAGTCCATGGGAGAAAAAACAAGGCTGAATAAAGAAACAGTGCACCACTTGCAGCTCAATGAAATCAGGGGATGAGACTCCAGCTGTCATGCTCTTTGGAATGCTGTCCTATGGCCCAAGTAAGAAACAGATATCAATCTCATTTCTTGTGCCCTCTGCTTTTTTTTTTTTTTTTCCTTCTTCTTCTGGAGGGCACTTTGTTCAGCACTTAGAATGATAGAAAGATTCAGATTTCTTGGGACTTCTGATCCGACCTCCTCTTCAGAGCGTGGCCAACTTCACAGTTAGATAGCATTGCTCCAGGCCTCATTCAGGAGAGTTGTGTAAATCTTCATGGACAGAAGTAGCACTTGATTCAGTGCTGAATGAACCACACTTGATCATGGGATACTCCTTCCCAAATACATTATTTCTTTCATGGCTGAAGAATCATGAGATCAGTGGTGAGTCTGCATGTAATTTATTAATCAAACAACACACACCGTGCTTCAAGTATGACATTCGTAGTAGAAACTATCCAGTTTGACCAGTGGTCAGCTTATTCTTAGTCTGTCCCCTGCAGTTTAGAGAAACTTGGGAAATTCCAAGTAAACAAACCACAAAACATCCCTCAAAAGCCTTATTTTGGAGTCCCTCAACAGTCAACAGGTGGCAATTCCTTCAAACTCTCCCTGAGTACCTGGATCATTCATCCAGTTGAACAGTTTCAAGACAGCTTTACAGAAGAGAGATTAAAATAAATAAAAAAAAAAAAATTCTGTGAAGGATGACAGTCATTTTTAATACTGTCATTCCCTTTCCTGGTTGCCTGCAGATCTCAGCAGTCCCCTAGATTACAACCCCTAGATGACATAAATATTTTAACAAAAACAGAACGTTTTGCCTTTCCAAATATTCAGTACCTATATCACCAGAATATTAAACAGTAAGCAGAGACAGCAGTGACACTTGGCCTAAGGCTGGCACAGCCAACTGATGTTTAAGAATGCCTTTTTGAATTCTGAAGCACTCTTATGCTCTTTTCTGTTCATGTACCCCTGCTTTGAAGTTCATAAACATTCCAATGAATAGCTTTTTGATTCATGTGAATGCTTGAAAAATATCTATTCTCTCCAAAATGCCTGCACATAATCAAGTTTTTCAATGCAGTGGCACAAATATTTACTATTCAGCATTCTACTTAAAAAATCTGTGCTTCAGTCTAGGAAAATCTATGTAGCCACGCAACCACACATATATCACAGAGGGTAAATAGTCAAACTGAATAGATTGCACATGTAAATTGAAAATTGTTCATCTATATAAGCCACTGATTTGCAGAATTCAGAAACAGTTTATAAACAGTTCCTGAATGGCAAAGAAAAAACAAACAAACAAAAAAACTATATTCCACCTGAATAATTAGTTAGTTCCTTAACATTTCTGAGTTTTAATAATAAAAAATAATTGATATTTTTACTTCTGGAACCATTACTCCATAATAGCTTTTGTTTAAAGGCATGAAAACTACGAGATATTTAAGGGCATTTTTATGCTTTGTTTTGTTTTTCATTTGTATTGATGATAATAAAAAAATGTGAGTCTGCTTCATTTCTCACATGCAGATATGATAGTTTGGTACTTCAAATCATCACAGCATTGCCTTGGAGAAAATACCCCACTCCACTAATTGCCTCACATAGGACCTGCTGGATATTTATTTAGTTTCAAAAGTTTTAATTATTAAAGAGATTGAAGTGTTTATCAATCTTCACAAAATAATATTACTTGAAGAAACTGTTGTGACTCAAGGTCCAGCATTTACCAAAATTACTACACTTCGGATAGTTCCAAGCAAAAAATGAAATCCATAGTGCACCTCACTGTTAGTATAGTTGACTGAAAGTACTGTGACTGAAAGTACTCTTTGTGAGATTAATTCTGCATATTAAACTTATGCTCTGAAACACTGGGTATATCCCCAGCTATGTTTTTAGCCTGGATACAAACCTTACCTTTTGATGTTGTGGAAGGGCAGAAATAGCACAATGCAACATGAAGCTTTATACAAAGCTCATTTTCCACCAGGAAAAGCTAACACAATGGCCTTTTGTTGGCATTTCTCTTGATTCCTGCTGGAGGAGTGTACATGGAGATAATGCTGGCAGGTGGATGCAAAGCAGGTAACTATAACTTCCCCAAAACTGTTTGGACTTATGCCAGGCGTTGAGTGGATGTTTGCCAGGCTCTGAGCTCAGAAAGTGCATGGTGTGGTGTGGCTTCCCCAGTGTGTCTTCAGCCCAGCCATTCCTACACTAAGAGGAAATGAGCCCTTCATCTCTGTTGCCTGCAACAGGTTACTGTTACACAAAGCATCTGTGGTTTGACTTGTTTGTTATGAATTCACTGCCTTCCTTTCTCATAAAGAAACCTCTTGATCTTTGAAGTGGGAAAGAGTTATTTTTTCTTTTTTCTTTTTTTTTTTTTATATATAAAAAAAAAGGCTCGTTTCTTTGAATCTAAATTTTTTACCAAGTTACATAAGCACTCTGTTTAAAGTTCCCATTATGCAAAAGCATGCCTTTGTCTTGCAGTTATGGTCCACCTTCATCGAATTCTTCAGATCTCTCAGATAATTTGATTATCTCTTAGTTAAAATGACAGAAGAGTACCCTAGTTTATTCTTGTTCAGATCACTACCTATTAGTAGAACTATAAAAAAGGAGGATGTAAGTCACACACAGTTATATTGCTCTCATCCTGGTGGGAACACAAAAGCCCTTAATAGAGCAAATGTTCTGGAGATGAAGGAGTCCAACACTCTCACATTACTTTTGTTTAGCTCCCTCCAAAGTACTCTGAGGACGACATTGTGTCACAGCTTAACAAATTACTATGCATCAGCTGAGCTAGGGTCATTATCAGTATTAACATGCTCTGAAACCATACAACACCTCAAGGAAAGCATTTAAAACAGATGCACATTCTTCTGAGTTTCCTACAATTGCAGAGCATGACTGTTTCATCAAAATGAAGCTTGACTAAGAAACTTTCAACAAACATTTTCAGACAGAAGATGCTGCACCTCAGCTAAGACATAATTTTGAGTAATATGAACAGGGCTAATCTGCTGCAATGCAAGACTTTATTTTCTTAAATCAGTATCAGCAGTTTACAGTAAAAACCCTCTGAGAACATCCCAACAGTGTATGCACATACAGTGTGTACTTCAGTGTACACACACAGAGACACAATGCAAAAGTAGCAATGTATTCAATGCTTAATTTTTTCCTTAGTCTTCAGAGTTAAAGGCTTGTCTAATTCTGCTGTGCTTATCACAGAGTTTGGGAAGGAGAAGTGTAGCCAGCCATGCAAGAGTAACTCGTTACAGATTTTTGGTGTTTTTACTTGGATGGGCAGTTGAGCTCCACCTCAGCCACTCTCTCACTCCCCCTCCTCAGAGGGAAAGGGGGAGAAAATACAATGCAAAAGGCTCAAGGGTTAAGATAAGGACCGGTAGATCACTCAACAATTATTGTGATGGGCAAAACAAACTCAGAATAGGGAGATAATAAATTTATTGCCTATTACTAACAGGCTAGAAAAGTAAGAAACAAAGGAAAGAAACCAAAAACACCTTCCCTAAAACCACCCTCTTCAACTGCCTCCCCCCAAGCAGCGCAGAGGAACGAGGAATGGGGGTGTCCCTTGATACTTCGTCTCCACAGCTCCCTCACAGTCCTTCCCTGTTCCCCGTGGGGTCCCTCCCACGGGATGCCGTCCTTCCCCAACTGAGCCTGCAGGGCCTGCCCACAGGCAGCAGCTCCTCAAGCACTGCTCCCACACGGCTCCGTCCCACGGGGTCCATCCATCCCCCAGTAGCAAACTGCTCCAGCAAGGGTCCCCCACGGGTGGGCAGCAGCTCCCTCTAGCTCCTGCTCTCCTGCTGCACTGACCTTGGCGTCTGCAAGGCTATTTCTCACTGCTCTCTCTCCCAGCTGCTGCTGAGCAGCAGCTTTTTCCCGCCCAACCCCCCCCTCCGCTTTCTTAAATATGCTCTCACAGAGGCACAAACATTGCTTATTGGCTCAGCTCTGGCCAGCGGTGGGGCCCTTACCTAACACGGGGCAGCTTCTGGGTTCTTCTTACAGAAACCACCACCATGGGCCCCCGCTACCAAAACCTTGCCATGTAAACTCACTACAAGACTATACAGAAAAACTAACCCAGATCTGCAAGATTTGCCCAAGGGTGCTGCAAGTGTGGCTGATGTGATAGCAGGGCCCCCACCTACCATCTGTACAAAATCTTGACAATCAGGGAAGGTGACCTGACTACAGAGAAAAGATTGTCATAAGGCCAGTCTCAAGAAGAGAAAGCAGCAAGGCCCAAGGCACTACAGGTCCATTGGCTTCACCTCAGCTCAGGAAGAGACACAGAAACCACCACCTGAAATCCATTCCTAAGCACATGAAGGACAAAAAGGTACAAAGGGACACTCAGTGAGCAATTTCACAGACCTATCACCCTGCCTGACCAACCTCACTGCCCTCTATAAAATGACTTGCTACGGGGATGGGCAGAGAGCAGGGGCTATAGCACACCTTCACTTCAGTCAGGCTTTTGACACCATCTTTGACAGCATTCCTATTTTTGTAGAGCTGGACAAACAGACCGTTGGACTATGCCACTGTACCCAAAAGAGCAAAGATCAATGACAGTGTAAGGCAGAGTGCCCCAGGGGTCATCAGTGGAGGGAAAATTGTTCAACATCCCCACCAAGAACTCACCTGAGGGACAGACTGCACTCTCAGGCACTGCATTAAGGAGCATAGCTGGCATGCTGAATGGCACAGCTTAAATCCAAGGCAACCCTGAAGAAGGGGAAGATTGGGCCAACAGGAACCTCATGCCATTCAATAAGGAGAAGGACAAAGTTTTGCAGCTCAAGTGAAACAACCCCATGTATCACCACAAGCTGGGAAGCAATTGAACAGTTGCTTCCAAGGGACTCTTCAGTTGTTTCCAAAGGACTTCAGGTGATGGTGGACACCAGGCCGAAGAAAAGCCAGCAGTACACTCGCACTGTGCATACAGCAAAATACAACAGGCCACACCTGGAGAGCCATGGACAACAAGGTCAAGCAAGTTTATTTTCCTTGTCTGGTCAGCGCTGGTGAGAGCACACCTGGAATACTGTGGCCAGCTGTGGGAACCCAGTTCAATGGGGACAGAGAGAAATAGGAGAGGGACTGTCAGAGGGCCACCAAATAGGTCAGGGACCTCAAGCTCTGGACCTGTGAGGGGAGGTTGCAGGGATCTTGGCCTGTTTTGTAAACAAGGTTAAAAGGAGAATTCATAGCAGCTTACACTGATTTGAAAGACAGTTACAAATGTAACACACACACAGAAAAACCTTCTACATAGAGTCAGGAAATAACAAAAGAGTTAACATTTACATGTTACGTTTTGTGAAGTTCAGGTTGAACATATAAGACAGCATAGCACACTGTGAAAACACACTGATCAGAGAAATCATGGATTCTCCATCCTCAGAGGTTTACAGAAGCACCTGGCTGGAGAGAACCCCAATTGATCTGACCTAGTGTCAGGAATAGTCTGATTTTAAGTAGGAAGCTGTTCTCCATGACCTCCAGTGGTCCCATCCAGCCAGATATTTCTATGACTGTATGATATTGAAATGATTGTGTCCCTACGTACATAGGAATGCTCATTCAGATATATTTCAGCAGAGCAAAAATATCAGGGGACAGGAGGAGAGAAGACAAAGGGACCCAGCCATGGACAGAATGCCACTTCGTGACTTTTGCCCAGAGAGGTATGCAGGCACCCTGACAGCAAACATTGCCTTGCTTTTGCAGTTAGGTGGGAAGCATGTGCAAGCCTCTTCCCTTCTGTCCCCTAGTCTCAGACTAACCTGACTAGACTAGCTGCCAATTCTTATGATGTGTTAATAATACAGTCCAGCAGCAAGTCTGCCTGAATACTCTTTTGGGATATGGAAGAAACTACAAAGAGGTTTTTCTCCCGAAGAACATTTCCTTCTGGAGATATTTTGTGAGTGTAAACTATATGACACTGCAGTACAGGAGACAGAAAAGGCCCAAGAGTTGTGTCCAGCATGTATACATCTTTCAAGGGACCACAGGACAGATGTTCTCCAGACCAGCAAACCCACCCGGCTCGGTGTATCAAGACACACACATACTGGCCGAGGTCCAAAAGCACTATAGCTGTGTTCTACAATTTGACATTCAAACTAAAGAATTCCCTTACATGGGTTAAACTACTTCTGCAATTAGATAGTCTCCTGAGGTGTCAGAGAAGCAGCAGTAAATTAGCTGCCAGAGCCCCTGAACTAGGCCCACTGTTTAAACAACATATTGAAAGTGGCCTCAGGCTAGTCTCGCCTTCAAGGCTAATGAGCATCATGATACCCTCGTGAGAAATCTCCTGACCAATCCTCATTACTTGACTCATTTATCTGCATTTTTCTCCTCGCAGCAAAAAGTGCAGGATTCTTCAGTCTCCCCTTACATTAAACATATCCTGTCCCTTTCTAAGAAGCTTTGTCATTATTTTCCCTTGTTCTATGCTGGTTCTTATAAGCCAAACAGGAGATCAAATGCTTCGTCTAAATCCCCACAGCTGTGCATCACTGAATTTCACAGTGGAGCCAGCCATTCTTTCAGGTCTCTAAAGAGCTAGCATGCCATATTGCAGGTCTCCAAGCTTGACATCTCTGAACTGCAGGCATAAGCCCACTCAGGACTTACAGCTAAGCGTACTTTAAGAGATCTTTATCCTCTCAGGCATGCAAGCACATGAAACAGTTTTTCAGAACTCTCTTCCAGTTTCCACGTAACTCTGCCTCTCCCCTAATAATCGTATCATGTAAACTCAGCTCCTTCAGTGTTTTTTGTATGGAAATGCTCTTCTCCCCCACTGTTCCTCCTATTACAAAGGCCTACCAAAGGAAGCGTTCCTTCTACATCTCCTCACCTCTGATAGGAAAGGGAACTATTTCCACATGTTAAAACTGTGAATATGATGGCAAATGACAAATCACCTGTCCTCCAAATCATGAACATGGATTTAAAAGTCCTAACATAATTAAAAAATAAAAAGTCCTCATATAGCAACCACATTCTGGTCTATGAAACTTTCAGACATTTTCACATCGCATGTTGTTTCCTCTAGAAATGTTAAGGCTAGAAGCAAGCTTTTATTATTATTATTTTTATTTTTTTTTAATGAAAGAAGAGACTTAGACCTAAAGTACCTGTCTGTAGGATCTAGGTGCTACAGACACACAATAAATAACAAAAGGCTCAAGATAAAATCAGGACCCTAAACAGTATAGTGTATACCCAAACCAGATGTATTTTACTTTGACCTTCACAGTTGTGTTCTGCCTCTAGGCTTCCAGCATAGCACCCATTTAGCCTTTTTCTTGCTCCGTGTGCTTCAGATGGAAATCTGTGACTGATCATACTTGGCCCATAGGATGAAAAGGCATAGGACGTAAAAAGTCAAGAAAATTTCTGCAGCCCAAAATGTTGCATTTAGCTGGGCCTTGTACATCCTTCAAGGTTTTCCTCTCTCTCTCCTTCCACTGTTGGATTGCACTTCCACTGCAGTATTTTTTCAGGCACTACAGAAGACACTTGTGAGTTCTTTTATCTTTGGTCCCTTTCAAAAGGGGTCTCCTGATATTTTTGTCTTTCTGGGAAATATAATCCTGAAATTATTCTTCTTCTACTTATAATCAGGGTAATGATCAACCTGGAAATAAAAGGCCTATACACTTATTAATGGTTTCTAGTATGACTCTTGGAGGAGGATTATATAAACAACAACAACACACAAACATCATGAAAGCTCAATACCTTCCAGGGCTGTATAGTTACTAAAGAAAACAAGCATTGAGGATATATGAGAGTCAGTATGCTGGGGATTAAGTAGTAGAACATAGAAATTCCTTTTGAAAAGAGATTTAAATTGTGGAAACAAATGAGAAGTGAAAGGAGTAATGAAAAAAATCCAAAGGACAAAATGAGAAAAGCATGATGTAGAAATGTTGAGGAATGAGAAAACTCTGCTAAAATGAAACATTTGAATTGGCAGGTGGTAAGGGAGCTGAGAAGAATAAACAGAACAGCCATAATAAGAGGGTAAGAATATTAGACTAACAATAGATAGTATTCATACAAGATAGGAACAATGAGGAATAGCAAAAAGTGAAAAATCAGTCTGATCTGCATAAGACTTAAGAGACTGCAAAGAGTATGTAGTGAACTGAAAAAATAGGCATAGATGATATGGTTGATGTTGAGGTGCAAAACAAGAGAAACATGGAGGAGCTTATCCACTGAACCAAAATGAAGAATCTTGGTGACTGTGCTTAAAAATATACATGCCTGTTTTGACAGTGTGGGAGAGAAGGGTCTAGGGCAGAGCACCACTTGTTTTTAAAAAGGTATTTTCTTGGCAATAACAACCAAAATGACACAAATGTTGCTACTGAGAAAAGAAAGATGAATAGTGAGAATCAGAGGGGAAGAAATGAATTTCTGTTTTTGTTATCTTTAAAGCAGTTGTATCTCTCCAAGAAGAAGATAAGGGAGGTAGAAACAGAATTATTGATGAGAATGTGAGCAGACAAGAAAGAAGAAACTTACCTAGATGTTATGAGCATTCCAATATCACTGGCCAGGAGCAAAAGTGCTGCTGATAGGGTAAATGTAAAGATAACACACAGTCTGGAAACAATACCCTGGACAACCTTCTAAGAGAAGCACCTCAAAACAGTCAAAAACTCAAGAAAGTTCAGTCAGTGAGGTTGAAAGAAAGATGAGCTAAAACCCCAGTACCACAATAATGAAGAAGAAGGAAATTATCCAGTGTTAAACACAGCTCAGAAGAGTTGATTCCTGTGTAAGGCAAGAACGTGTGGTAGTAGAATGACACAGAGCAGGAGCATTAAGGAGCTTCAAGGGCTCATCCCTTAATGCTTAAGGACTATCATTAAGGTTACATTTTTCACCTGTGAAATCTCTTTCTAACTTAGTGCATTCCTAGCTTGGTGATTTACACTGATTTGTGTCTGGGGTTTCTCTTCCCAGAGAGGCAAAGCAGTCATATGACAGGGGGAAGGAGCAACATCTAAAGTGCATAGAATACCACCACCACTTATCTCTGCTACAAGTATACCATCACTGCCCACTCAAGAAAATGGGAATTTTAACCTTCAGCTGTAGCCCAGACAGCTCTAGGGGAGACTTTAAAAACAGCAAAATGAAAATGTTAAATGACTACAGCCAAAATAAGTCACAGGACGATAACAAGAACAAGGACTAAAGACTCTTCTAGTCTGCTGTCCACAGAATATAAGGAAAGAAAAGAAAGGTGCTTTAGAAAGCAATCTTCTTGCATTCTTGCATGTCTGGAAAAAAAAAAAAAAAAGCCAGCTTACATAGTAGGAAACAAAAAAAAAAATATAGAGAAAGGACAACAAGAAATAAGAGAAGGCACTGACAAATTCTCTGTGAGACTGAAAAATGAAAAGTGTAAGACAAAAACACTGATCAAATGAACTTCAGAGAGTTAAAGTAACACGAGTTATATACTTGTACATATCTTAGAAGAATAAGCTCTGCAGTTGAAGGAAAACACGTGCTTTGCATGTATCTTGATTAGTTTCAGCAGCAACTGTTTTTGCTGCAGTTTTAAACAAATAAGGCGTTGTTTATTTCTGTCTTAAAATGGCCTGTAGATCTACTGGAAAATGTTCAGCAATCACCAGTGCTAACTTCAGAAGAGGTTGCTCTTTAGTCATTACTGAATTCCAGTACAGCACTACTTGCAAGAGTCAAAACTATACTGAAAAGACATTCCACTCCAATCCCACATTTTCACTGACTCAGGCCTCTCTAGGGGAAAAAAACAGACAGAATCATTTCATGTTCCTAAGTACAAAGGAAGCTTTATTTTTTTCCCCCATTAGGCTTGAGAATTATTCTTTGGACTACAGGGTTTGCAAAGACAGTGCATGCATACAGATAAACATGTGCATGTGTATACCAGAACTACTTTAAAAGAGCATGAAGAACACGAGGAACATGAAGTTGAGCCCTACATTAAAGTGAGAATTAAGACCGTCAGAATAGCTTTCTCTCATGCTTTCTCCCTGCTTATTAATTATTATTCAGCATCTTAATCACATTCATCTGTGTTTTTTGTTTGTTGTTGTTTTTTGTTTGTTTTTTTTTGCGGGAGTTCATGGGGGAGAATATACAGCAGTCTGACTGTCCCCCAAATCTACATGTTTCTATAGCAAAGAGCAGAGACAACATTCCTCAGAACAGGTAATGGGGTTATTCAGCAAGCAAAGAACAGTACTGGTCTCCCCTTCTATTTCCTTTCATGCTGAAGAAGACCCTTCAGTACTGGTCTCCCCTTCCACTTCCCTTCTTCTCCCCTTCATGCTTTCCTCTTTGAAAAAATGATGTTGTAAGTTTAAAACATGCCTGTTAGCCTGCGTGAGCTGCATTTCCTCAACAGATTATCCCTGATCTCACCGCCCTTGGCAGCATTAGAGGGGTCACATTTTTACACGGATGAACTAGTTGAACAATTTCTTCAAAGTAAGAAATAAAAACATTCTTTCCTTCAAAGCATCCGTGCATGCTTTCTTCTTTATTCTGTTTGTTCAGTTTTTCTTTTTAAGTCAATAAACACTTTATACCTTGTATTCATTGCAAGAAAAACAAATTATACTCCATTCCCAGTATCTGCAGTTTGTTTATGGCATCAGCTGCTGAAAATTAAGTATTTCACATGTCAAGGTTTAATTGCAATCCTTAAATGATGTTCTCCGCAGCAAAAGTTCTAACTGTATTTGGCAGGAATGGAGTAGGAAGTGACATCTCTGATTTTCTTCTGCCAAGCCTCAAAGAGTTGCTGTGTCCTCCTTTCTGGTTCCCTGGAGAGAGACAGTACAGTAAACACCAACATCCTAGGTACTACATGTAGCAGCCGCAGCCACATTTGCAAAGGTCACCTAGCAGAAGGCATTCCTGCCAACTTTCTTACAAATTCAAGTGGTAATCATGAACTATATAATGCAGGGTTAGCTTATAGTTAATAGAGTGAACCTAAACCGCATGATACGGCTCTCATTTGTTGTACCCATAAGGGGTATAGGAGATGGATAGGGTACTGTGAACATAAGGTAACCTAAAACATACTCAGTCTCTTTGTACAGTCAAAACATGGAACTTCAGCCTTTCTGAGACCCTGGAAATATGAGACAGCCATTTTTCAATGTTTTTTTTCTCTTTGAAACATGTATTCTCATACAAGTCCAATAAAGGAGATTACCTTCAACACTGAGTCAACTTTCATTTCATATTTTTTTGTTTCCTAGACAGACTAATAGGATTATCAGTACTATATCCCGAAATTCATATTCAAAAGCAATAGCAGCCAAACCTTTGCCATGGAGACCAGAGTACTGTGAAGGTGTTGGGTTTTTTTAGTATTTTTTTATGTGTGGTTCTTCAGAAGGCATTAAAATGCAGTCAATAAACTCATCCAGCAGAGAGAGACTATGAAGGAAAAAGCAATGACACGCCTGTAAGAATCCAGAAGGTCTACTTGATCTGATAAAAGAAAAAATAGGAAGAAAAAAAAAAAAAAAGATTTGCTTATGGAAATTCTTAATTAGTTAACGAACTAATACGTCTGAGGCATGTTGGATTTGTGCACTCATATTCTCATTTGTTAAGAAGAATTTTAAAATTACCACAGGCTCTTCAGCTCTGTGCTGATAGCCTGCTCCTGCTGCTCCCACATATGCACCCCTTCTTTGCCTCCAAGTCATGCTGCTGTGCATGTCCCTTTCTCTTTGCACTTTCAGAGCTCTCCTCTTCACAGAGGCTCCTGCCAAACCAAGCCCTGCTCCATATCACTGTGGAAGCTGTCTTGTCCTCTTGCATTCTCCTCAGAGGCGTATAGTCATTTCTGAGATCCCTGTTCCTGCACCCAGCAGTGCAGCACCAAAGAGCAGTAACTCCAAAGAAAGTCTTACTGAGCCCCAGGTGAGGACCAAACAGCGCTCCTGAGCCTGAAGATGAAGGCCAACAAAGAGATGGAACAAGTTCAGTGTAAAAGGAGTCCTTGGAAGAAATAAGCTGTTAGGCGGGTTGCTGCTGTGCACATGTAAATCGAGGTTTGGGGGGGATAATAACTAGACAAGGCTCAGATTATTATTTTTTTTATTTTTATTTTATTTTTTTATTAAACAATGGAAGACATAAACCTCATAGACAGGCAACTTTTTTTTTCTAGTACCTAGGCATTCCATATCTGCTCCTCACAAAAATAAATAAATAAATAAATAAATAAATAAATAAATAAATTCTCCCACTAGACTGTTTTTCTTTAAGCTGCAGAGCACAGTATTTTTCTCCGGTGCATTTCTCAGAAAGGCCAGAAACAAACTTGCACAAAACAGTATAAGTCTCTGGCAGACCTGCAGCCTGAAAAAGTTCACCCTCTAAGATTAGTACAGTGATAAGCTTCTCTAATTTGCTGGGCATTATCAACCAGAAGTCATGCAACCAGCTCCAAGTAATATGTATTTTTAATATGCATCATAAGCAGTAGTATAAACTATTACAGATAAAAGAAAAATTGAAGTAAAATGGCCAGATCTCGCCCTTATCAGCAACAAATCAGCCTGGTTTACCTCAATGGGCTCTAAATACAATAAATGAGGAAAGAATCACCTGAAGTTTTTTCAGCTGTTTTCAGACTTCTGCCTCTTGGCTGTCTGCCTGTGAGAGTTTTCGTCTCTGAAACAGCCTCCCTGATGCATTGTTTCCTGAAAACAAAGAATACAAAAAGGCAAGCATAATTATTCTCATTGTTGGGTACTTGAAACAAACGGCAGGAGACATAAATTATGAGAAGACCTATAAGCCTGTATCTGATGAGGAATAATGAATTTTTGTAAAGACGGAGAAAAATTGAAGTGCAAAGGCACGTAACAATTTTACACATTAATAATGTAATCACACTTTCTAAGATCATGGATTTTTTTTCTTTTTTTCTTTTTTTTAATTTATTTTTTTATTTTTTAAGTGGGATCATAGTGTTTTGCCTTAGGACATATGTTATCTGGATCATTTCATCTACTATCATTACTAGGTGACTGTAGGATAACAGTCCTTTAACTGATTGACTTGTTTAACCTTAAAGTACCTGAACTGTTTTCTAGCTCTATCCTACAGGAAGACCAACACTCATCACTAAAAACAGTTCATTATCAGTTTTCAAAAGTATGTGTGAGTTTTAAGTAGCATTTGGGGCTTATCATTAGCAGTAACACTCAAAAGGCTAAATATACCCTGGAACATCATGAACTAGCATTACAGTTGCTACTGGAGTTGGTTCTGTAAAACACAATTCCATTTCACCTTTCTCTAGCCCCAGTAAAGCATTTCAGGGGTCTCCAGAGGCCCAGAAGGATAACAATAAAACCTTATTTTGCCAAGCTGATAGCTGCAAACCTCTCTCAGATGCACTGGGTTTTCCCTCTGGCTTAGATGCCAAGAATATTTCAGTGCTTGAGGACTACTTCACTAGTAACATATTCATTTTTCATGCACATGTTCATCTTTATGTGCCTTCACAGAAGAAATTCAATCTTTCTAAGAATTTTGGGGAAAAAAAAAGAGCTCCAGTTTTAGGTTATTTTTTCATTGGAAAGAAATGGATCACAGAATAGATTATTTAGATCCAGGTCACTGGGAGCAACGTAATAGTTTTTTTGTTTGTTTGTTTGTTTTTCCCGTGGGATGTATACTTCATCCATATCCCTGCTACTATTTTGGAACAAAAAAGGGGCAAATTTTATAAATAAAGGATCATTTCAACACTAGAAAGCCAAAAAAAAAAAAAAAAAAAAAAAGATCCCATTATCAGATTGCAAATAATCATTAAAAAAAATAATAAATCTTTAATTAATCCTACTAACTACAGATAGCTAGATCATCATTTCAAATTCTTTTTCATCCAAGTGTCAATCAGACACTTGGCCTGAAATCTGTGGTTCACATTCAGCCTTCAGCATTTCAGATTTTATTTACTACCTCAGTATATCTAAACTAGAAGCCAGTAATTTATTAGTCCAGGAGGATGGGAAAGGAAGGAAGCTCCATGTCCAACCAGCAGACACTGAGTTATGGAATATAAGTTAAAGAAACTGCAGCTCTTTATAGATTATGGCCAAACATACTTGCTGCATCCAGTCTTCAGGGACTCTGTCATGATCAACATCAGGTTGATAAGGAAAGGTGGATAAAAAAAAAAAAAAAAAAAAAAAAAAAAAAAAAAAAAAGCAGGCTACAAATATAAAGACAGGCTACAGGAACTGATTTTGCCATTCATGAGACCATTTAGTGCTTGAACTTTTCAGCATGAATTTGATAAGAAGAACACCACAAAGAAAACAAGGACAGACAGCAAATTCACAGCTTTGAGTTGGCCATGTGGACAATGTGATTCGTTATAAGATTCCTCAGTGTCTCCAAAGGACGGACATAGATATGGACACACGGCTCCATTAAATGACAAGGTTATTTACAAACAGATCCTAGCTGCAGCTTCTAAGCAGGGTGCAGCCAGGAACATGCCTATAACCTCCTTTGTTGAACATCTGGTACACAGATGGACTGGAACAAAACCGTACTCTGTGCATTTACCTCCCAAAAGTGACTAATGCCCAGACTTTCACAAGGATTCTATATCCCATCTCCTCCATTTTCCAGTAAACAATGTTGAGGTCTAAGCACTTCTGAGAAATCTTGACCAAGGTTGCTAGTTTCCTGAATATCCACTAACTAGCACGTTTTTCTACTCCTACTGTTAAATGAATAGTCTATCAATTCTGGGCAAAGAGATTGCAGCCCCACACAGTTATGAAAGTATCTGAGCAATCTCAGCAGTATGTGCCAGCTCTGAATATGGTATTTTTAAAGCGCTGTTATAGTTCACTGCATGTTTAATTTTTCATAGTTTATAAATTTATAACTATTGCCTATTTGTGGTGTAGGAAGGTCTGGAATCAGAAGGTCGATATCAGATCATTTTAAGGTCTAACCCACAAATGATTTCTTCTGTGGTGCCAGCTAGAGAATAGAGTCGAGGATGCCTGCAGAGCTTTCTGAGGAAAAACAACAGTCTTCTGTGAGTGGTCAATGCATTCAACCAGAATTCTGAAGTCTGCCTCAGACGTGGCACAGAAACTCAAACACCCACCCTCCCAGTTAGCAATGAGCTACTCCAGGCCCACAGTTTACAAGACCACAGGAGTACCCAACCATGTATTCTTCAGCCACAAGATAAATCTGGGGCTAGTTCTACGCGTTGTGCATATGCTCAGTCCTTAAACAAAACTCCAGACTGTCCACGCCCTCACTTTGGCACATGAGATACTACTAGAGTCTTAGGAGCATCACTGGAATAGCTCTCCTGAACGGCACCTATCTCACCCCACAGGGCAGCTGTTTTGTTCATTGCCTTGGAAGACGTTCTGCCTTGGCAGACATACAACAGAGCCAAACCGTGTGGTCTCTGCTGCCGCTTAATTGATTACTGCTCTGTCACTTGCCAGCAGTATTTCCCTGGACTAGGCCCAAAGTATGAAAAGGCTGATGCAAGAAGACCGCAAACAGAGAAGACCATTTCCCAGTGAGGTGCAAGAACAAAATCTCCCCTCTCCTAATGCTATTGCACTCTTCAAATTAACCATTTGTACACTGCAGATCCAGCTAGGTTTCTTTCCGTATCGGTGTGCAATTAGTGGTAAAGAGCAGCCTTCTTAAAACTGAAGTATTGATTATGCTAACAGTAGGAACATGGAAAGTAGACAAAGCAATTTTAGAATAGAAGTCTTTGTGTCCATCTTGCCTTATCATTGTATAATGATACCATAGGTCAGCCTGACTTCTTCAGAGGCACAACTGAGAACCACTTCAGTCTAAGCAGTCCCCTAATAGCTTCCCTTTTTGGAAAGAGAGGATCTCTTTTTAGTCATCCAGAGCTCCTCTGTTCTTATTAGCTCCAGCACTTCCTCTGCATCTTCAGCCTTCTTCATTCCTGTTTTCCCAACAGCCCTAATTTAGTATCTCCATATAGCAACTGTCCCTCAGACTTCAGACACGTATGTCCCTCAGACATACGTCATCCATAACACACAACAGTTACATGTTTATGACACACTGTACTCTGTAAACACTGGTGGAAGGTTATGTTATAGAGATGTGCATCAATTCACTTCCAAGTGGCTCAAGGTTTTAAGCACCATAATACCAGCAAAGTAAATGGTTTCAGAGGTTGGACTAGGTGATCTTGGAGGTCTCTTCCAACCTAGATTATTCTGTGATTCTGTGGTTCTGTAAATGAATGCAAACTTGGATCCAAGTCAAGATATACCTGCAAATTGACATGGAAAATAATGACTTTTTAAAGAGACCTATTCTCGCAGGCTGATATTTAAAGGTTTTTAAAAGCTATTTACTCAAAGGTATATATTTGGAATAACAAAAATACAGAAAGAAGAAAAATAGATTCTTCAAAAATTCTATAAAATAAGGATTCCAGACACTCCTTTATTTCTATGTATTTCCAACATTTAATTTATTTTGTGTATGTGGCACACAAACAAATAAACATGCACATTGAATGCAATTGCATTGCATACAGATGATTTCCTCTCTATGGAACATTGTATACAGTTATGTTCTGCTCTCTAGGAGGAGTTTATTATGTCTTCTCCAAAAGCAGTTGTTTGCATTGCTCTTACAAGGCCTCCTCCTGCTATTGTTCATAAGTGCACAAAGTCTACTCACCTGCGCACAGTACAGTCTAAGCCTCGTCAGATTCTTAGGTAAATAAAGGGGAGATGAGGGCGGACAGAAACTGCACAACTTGCTGTTTTGTACAAACACGGGCCAGGCTGTGATGATGTGATTGGGAGGGTGGAAAGGTTACATATACACCCCATGCAGCAGCTCTCTGATATACATGTGCTGTAAGACTTACCAACATCTGCAGAAAACAGCACATAAGGAACTTTTAACAAACAGTCTGACAAAAAAGACAAATTTTTGCTTAAACACTTAAAGGCTATGCTGTATCTCCTATACTTCGTGAACTATACACTTCCTCTGACAGGGATTGCTTTGCCCAGAAGTATGGTAATGTATCTTAGCAACAGTGGCGGGGGGAAGGCTTACTGTACTGTAAAAGAATTCAAACAAAATGTATATAGCTGCTGACTGTTATAAATATATCCCTTCCACTCTGAGGGGGTGTTCAATTATACTCCTGCTTTTTTCCCACATTTCCTTTCTCAGAGGGGCAGGGGCATTTATCCAGCTCTCAGCTCACCCACGAAGAGCCCTAACCACTTGAAATCCCCTTCAGCCTCAGCTCTGACCAGACAGGCCTTGCAGCATAACCCGTTGCTATCCCAGCCGCATCAGTAAAAGCCATTACAGTAGCACCCTGGAGATAACCTCTTCTGAGCCCAGCTGCTGCTCCCCCAGGTGTTCAGCTGCCATCCCTCCAGTGCAGCACTTCCCAGCTCTTCTGTCCTGAGCAGGTGGAACTACACAGAGCAGGACTGCAATATTTCACCTTCCTACTTGTCAGGCAAGCAGAAAGCTTCCTGCGGCCAGGGAGGTGCAGAGTTTGCACAATTGAGCCTTTCAGTAAGATGCATTGTTTCCCACAAGTAAAACAGAGCAACCTTTATCTATGCCCTCTACTCAAGTTCTCTGTCAGGGCAATCCCTCTGCTCACTTCCCACTTCCAGCACAGTGAGGCTGAGAGCCTGACAGAGCACTTCTCCTCCCTTAGGACAGCTCTGAGGTGGATGTCAGGGACTGCAACACCTTGTGCTGAAATACCCCAGCAGCACTGAAAAGATCTAAGGGATGAGTTACAATGCGAGGAGAGGGGTTCCAGAAATTGAATGACAAGTCAGGGTATAGAAAACAAGTCAGTGAGGAAAGTGAAGGCGCCTTTTTTCCTTCAGAATGAGTGTGTGGGCTCCAATCGCCTTGCAAGGATTACCCTTTGCAAGCATCTCTGGTGCTAGCTACGAATAACCAGAGTGCCCTTCCAGCAAAGGGTTTGCTCAGTCTTTCTGGGAGCAAGCACCAGCACGTCCATAAGAAACTTCATTCAAGTTCACTGAAACACTTGGAAACCCTAAGGAGGATTCTTCCTTTGCAGGGAGGGAGGAATCCCTCGCCGAGAGAGATCTCCACTTGGAGCAGGTTTACACCCAAGGACAGAACGGGCAGTTGCCTAGGGTGTGCCTAGGACACCGAAGTACCTGGGCAAAGCTGGCCAAGCCTTCCCATCCCCCGAAAGGCCGCACTGGCCTGCCGCTATTAATTCCGCGCATGATGAAGACATTTAAAGCCTTGCAGTCGGTCTTTCTCACAAGCAGGCGTCTGTCGTGCCGGGTTTCATGGCAAGGCGCCGTTGATTCAGGAGATGAATTCCCACACGGACACATGGACACACGGACACCGCCACCCCACAGCGCGGATCCCCGGGGGGCCCGGATCCTCCGCCATCCCCCCGGGGCTCTCGGAAACTTTCCGCCCTTTTTTTTTCCAAGTTTCTCTGCCTCCGCCTCCCCTCCGGCGGAGGCCGGGCTGCCTGAGCGAGCAGCACAACTTCCCCGGCCGGGAGGAAGGCGAGGAGGAGCTCGGCGCCGAGGGGTGGGGGGAGATGGAGCCGGGGCGTGGGGAAGCCGCTCCCGCCTTCCTCCTTCTCCTCCTCCTCCTTCTCTTCTCGCCGGCTGCTCCAGCCCGGCACCAGGCGACCGCTGCCTCCCTGCCGAGCCCCGCAGCAGCCGGGACGTGCCTCCGGGATGGGGGCGCCGCCGGTCGCCCCCAGCCTCCTGCTGCTGCTGGCCGGCGCCGCGGGGTTGTGCCGGGCTTTCTTCTCGCTGCCGCTCCGCGTGTCCCAGCCGGCCGCCCCCCGGGGGTCGCCGCCCGCCCCGGTGCCGCTGCGGCCGGGGAGCGGCGGGGGCCGGCAGCGGGATGCCCCGGCAGAGCCGGGAGGCTTGGCCTTGGCCTCGGAGCCCGGGGGCAGCATCAACTTTTTGGCCATGGTGGACAACCTGCAGGGGGACTCCGGCCGCGGGTACTACCTGGAGATGCTCCTCGGGACCCCGCCGCAGGCGGTAGGAGTGGGCCGGGGAGAGGAGGGGGGGGGGGGGGGGAGGATATTTTGGAAGGGGGAAGGATATTTTTGGGGGGTCGCATCTCAGCAGCTGGGTTCTGCCGCCCTCCCCCGTTCCTGCCCAAACGCAACTTTCTCTCTCCGTGCCGTAACTTCTGCTGCCGAGCCCAGGGGGAACCCCCTCTTAGGACGGGCCCCTCCCCTCCCCCCCGAAGGATGGGGACCCCCCGCTTAGGACGGAGACCCCGGCCCCCCATTGCAAAGCGTCGCGATCGCAGCTTAGAGTAACCCATCCGCGCGGGTGTGTTTCTATTTTCTGTTAAAGCCGCGTCTGGGCGCTCCGGGGAGGGGGGGGGGATGTGCTCGCAGTGCCCTCCCCCGGCGAGAATCGCTCCAAATCCTCCGCTGGAGCTGAGCAGCGGGTAGGCAGCGCCAGCCCTGGGAGGGGGGATGAGAAGTTTCCCCGAGCCTCCCCCGCCGAGTCACGGGGCGGCCGAGACGGCTGCTCGGCTCCTCAGCTGAGCCCAGCTCGTTTCCTGCCGGCCCTCGGGGCTTTTCGCCTCCCTTCTTCTCGCAGGCCGAGCCCCGGCCTTGGCCCTGCACAGAGGATTTCTCCTTTCTTCTTCCCGGGCTGCTGGCAAAGAGCTAAGGAATGCCGAAACGCCTCGCCAACGGGGAGCGTGCAGCTGTTAAATGTTTGCGATTCTGTGGGATCTTTACTTTTTTTTTTTTTTTTTTACATCTGAACGTAAGAGGGTTGGTCAGATTGTTGCTCCGTGGCATCAGGCTCAACACCTGTATTTAAAAAGGGTTGCGTTGTTGTACAACCAATAAATGTAGTTAAGAAGAAGCAGATCCCGTCCAATGTATCAAAGCGTGGCCCCATAGCCACAGAGGCTGTGAAACAATCTTTCCCTCCGTGTTACAGGCTGCGTGTGTGGTGAGCTCTGTTAGTGTGGCATCGTGTGGCCTTCATTACTCAGGGGAACATTCAATATTGGTTTCTGCCAGAATCCAGATATCAGGTTTGATTGGGCTAATAATGCAATTCAGTCTGTCTTAGATTAAAAAATAATTTTAGGAAGAAATAGTGAAAGTAAAGGATGTCATCTCCTTACACGTCTACAGGGATTTTGAAAGTGAAAGAAATGGAAAAGGAAAAATATGACAGGCACTTGATAATGTAACTGGATGTCTGCCCTCAGTGCACCTTGAGACTTCACTTAACAGCTAGTATTGCTTGCATTACGTGTGATGTGAGGTTTCAGTTAAACTTGCCTCCCTGGTTTTTCATCTGAAAAACAGCTCTGAATCCAGCTGCAAAGCTTTCACTATTTCGAACTAAGTTCTGAGTTCTTTCAAAATTAATTATTTAAAAGATTGCTACTGGTGGTTAGCATGTACAAAGTTTTATTCACAGGACTAGGCCCACCAAGGTTGTAAATGTAAGCAAGTAAGGTTATAAATGCATTTGGGTTTCCAAAAAGTCAGACCCCAATGCATAGCAACTCAGTAGAGCGGTGTTAAAATTTATTAGCTGCTTTGGGTAAGAATTTGTTATCTTCTTTCCTGCCTGAAACTGGAATACTTTAAGACCACAAATGCGCTTGCTGCTTTTCTGCTCTACAACAAATAGCATAAAGCTGCAAAGCTGCTACAGGCCGGTTCCGCTTGCGTCCTTCACATTGCTTACACTAAAAGCAAATATCTTGGCCCTGCCAAGTGCTGGGATCACGTTAAACTCCTTGAGCAAGCAGTCACTGAAGTCAGAGTGGGGCATGATCAGGTAGGAAAGGGATGTTTCTTGTTAAATGTTCCTCCCATTCTGACTTCGCCACCCATCAGAAGCTGCGGTGTACGGTGATGCTTGGACACCTCCCTTCTCCCCTACAGCCCTCTAGCATGGGACTCTTCCCCCAGACTGACTCTTTTTCACCCAGTTCCCTCCCAGGACCACTGAGCCCACATACAGGGCACTGCTGCCCTGACACTTCACCTCGGGGGGAAAAGAAATCCTGCCAGTGAGGAAGAGTTATGGAGAAACTGGAGCAGAAAGGTGGGGAGCAGAGCTACTGCTCCGCACAGCGCCTTGGCAAGCGGGTGAGCAAATGCAAGCAAGGCAGCAGTGGACCGAGACCAAATAGCGGGTGGTGAAAAAAGGCACAAGATTTAATGTTGTGGTTACAGGACTGCTGGTGCCTGGTAACTTTGCAAGCGTGCATTTAGTGCTGAAAGCCTGCTGTGCCGGTATGGGGATAAACATTTGTTTCACAGGGGACTTTAGCACTGCTGAACTTGTATTACTGCTCCATTGCATTTGTAGAAATTTCCCTTTTTTAATTTCTGCTCTTGGAAGGAAGCTACTATGAAAGAACTTCTCTTTTTAGGTCATTTAAGACATGCAATTTGGCTTTCGTTCCAATGCTGGTTTGTCATACAGCAGATAAACACAGTACAGAGCTGAGCTTCACAATGGCAGTTCTGAAATAATTGTTCTGCCAATATAAAAATAGAGTAGTTGTGTGAAGTCAGATTTTTTCTTTTTTTCCAAGGGACGAAATTTGAGTGCAGTCAGTCTAGTTTTGCAAAGTGTTTGCAGCCAAACTATTTCTGACCATTTCCAGTTTTACGATACAGTATCCTAACAATAGATCTCCAGACTAGCTACCAGATCAGTGTCAGCTGTCACTAATTCTCCCCAGCTAATTCTCATTAATTCACATACAGCTCTACTTAGGAATTATGTGAAAGCTGAAAAAGGAAAAAGTTTTGTATTGTATTGAAGAGTGTGATGTATTTGTCTCTTTCTTCAAGGATGTATTGTGTCCTACTTCTGATGGATTACATGCTTTACACCTGTCTGCAGAGGTGTGCTTTCTCCAATGCCAGATTTAAATATGAGGTGGCAAAGGTCCAGTATGAATTGTGTGCACTGCTCTTACTTTTTATTTCTTTAAATAATCTGATGGAATACCTTTGCTCTATCTTTTACTGTTTTGCCTGCCCTGAGAAGCCCTGTGAGGAACAGGATTAAAGATCATTTAGGGTTTTTTCCACTTTCTTCACCACAGTTCTGTTCATATTTTGCTTCTCTTACAAACTTTTGACAAATGGAATAGTCAAACTCCTAAGGCACCCTGTGTTCTTCACAGCTTTCCTGAAGTCCATCTGGACAGCATTATATCTTAGCGAAGAACCTACTGTTGTCTCATCTTGCCACTTATGTTAGTCTTGATTATATGAAGCAGAGGTAAACCTGCCTGTCTCATTGTATTTCCAAACTGCACATTTGGTGAAATAATGTAAATACTCTAAGTGCAACATCATTGCAAAGGGAGGCTCAGCATGCACCTCCTGAGAGCTCAGAGTCCTCTAGGTTTGCTTTGGTTAGTGGGTACTGAAACCACAACGGGATCTGATTTATGCTCTGAACACACAAGCCCTTTCTGAAATTTAAATCTTTCATTCTATGCATGAGGAGGTTTTGTTTATTGTTCTTTATGGCAGTTTGTTCTGTGCAGGGGGTGAGCAGTGAGTTTACCTCTCCTGTAAACTTGCTCAGGTTAACATGAGTTTTGGGTCTAGCAGGTTAAGGTGAGAGTTGCTGCAAAACACAAACTTCAATTCCATGTAATTGGTGAGAGGTTACCTTTCCTTCAATTTATTCCAGCTATTAGAGAAAAGAAGGATATGTATTAAACACCTTAAGTGTGTCACGGACTCTTATAATTTATAGCCTGATATTTTGAAGGTGATGAACATGCACATTAGCAAGTTCTGAACATGCAGCCATTCTTTCTTAATTGTTAATAGCTCTTATTTCATGAGAGTTGTAAGGAATGAATAGTGTGAGGAAAAAATCAGCTACTTTTGCAATTTTATCACTGCACTGGTCTTACTATAATAGGTGGTAAGGGCCTGATTTCTAGAGCTGTGTCATTCCCTGAGAAACTGAGCTCTACTGTCTTAATTTTGTTGAAGAGTTTACTCTCTTTTCAGATACAAGGATTTTTGAAAATGTTATCCTTCTAGGTTCAAATGACAGAACGCAAGCTCCAACTCAAATCTCTCTTATTTCTCTCTCTCTCTCTCTCTCTTTTTTTTTTTTTTTAATAGTTACATGTGCCTTTTCTGTTGATTTTTTAGTTTTTTATAGAAGTTGAAAGGAGGAAGGCTTGAGGAGCAAAGACAAGTACTGGGGCATATTGGACTACTTTGAGGTGGCAGCCTCAAAATCCCTCCAGATCCCTCTAATGGAAATACTATGGAAATGCAGTTGGATAGGATTTGTTGCTGCTGTTGGCTAAGTACTATGGATAAATTGAGTAGTTTTGTTGTTGTTATTGTTTTTTATTTGTCTGTGGTTTTTTTTGTTTGTTTGTTTGTTTTGTTTTGTTTTGTTTTTGGATTGTTGTTGGATCCCAGCAAAATAAAAGGGCAAGGACCTGAAAGTTGTAGGAGACAGGACTAATACTGTGGTGTAATGTGGTGAGGCATAATATATTTTTGGCCAAAGACAAAGTAAACAAACATACCAGATTTAGGTTGACAAAAGTGTCCCTGCCTTTACAGATCAACATTCTGGCACCCTCTTCATACAATACCAGTCCTTGCAAATGGCCTGCATGGAAGTTGTGGAACCTGTACTATAAAAATAGTCCAAACCATGAGTATAGTACAGTTAGTGTTTTGTAGCAAGGCTTTGCCTGGGTGTGTTTTTGAGAGGGTTGTAATGGATTGCGATGTCTATGTGCAGTGACACTGGAGGGAGGAGGCTCATCATGGCTGTTCCTCAGGATGTGCTCCTCTCCCAACACAAGTAGGTTCGATTAGAGCCCCACTAGTTTCCCACAAGATTGCTTCTTTTAAGGCACTCACTTTCAGAGCAATGCTGGAAGCTGTTATCTGTGGTCACTGGTCATAACAATCATGCTGGTGGTTCCTGGTGGGTTGTGGCAGAAGGTCTGTTGTGAAGATCAGGGAAGAGGCAAGAGGTGGCAG